GGCTCAGAGCTTAACTGATAGAATTGGACATTTGTAGAACGCCTACCGCATTTCTCAGAAATGCCAACTTTGAGATATCCCTGATGACCGATTTGTATGGATTTCTTTACCTTGAGGACATATTTTAATACCTTGAGGACTATATTCAGTTAAACACTGTAACTGAACGCGTCTCCTGTGCCCGCCACTTTGTTAGGAGGTCGGGGAAGAAGCGCTCAAATTGGTCTAGTGGAAAAAGCAGACATTATTAAATTCTCTATATTTTTATGTGTTTGAAATTTTTGTAAAAAGTTGAAAGTACCACTTTCAGGGCTAGAGGTATAGTTCAGTGGAGAACTTGCCTAGCGTGCAACAAGCCCTGGGTTCTATCACCAGCACTGAAAACAAAACAAAACAAAACAAAACAAAATTATACATTGTTAACATAGGACTCACCAAGAAATGCAGCTATAAATACAAATACGAGTTCTCTAAGAAACGTGACTAACCCTGGCTTGTTATTTTTTAAAAGCAGCTTTGTTACTCTTATTCTGTGTGTGATATTTTTATGGTATATAATCTCAACTAGTTTTATGGACATTTCTTCCTCCATTATTTATTTGTTCTTTTCAGGGCATCTAGCTTGAGACCGGTGTGGTAATAGAGATTTCAGAGTCAGACAGATCTTGGCTAAGTTGTGTGACCTTGAATGAGCTGTTTACCACAAGTCTTAGTTTCTTTATCTATAAAATGGGGATAGTATCCACTGTACAGGATGGTAGGGGTTAAGTGAGATGAAGCATGTAAAACTGTGCCCGACATAGAAGTACATAATAAGTAACAGTAAACAGCCAAAGCTCCTATTCTCTTTTCTGCCAAAGCATTGGAATCAGTTTCTTGCTCTACCAACTTCATCGCTGTATTTTACCCAGAATTAACTTACATTCATCAATGTTATTCATTCCATGTTACTAAAATTTTATTTCATATTATGGCAGTAAGTAATTCAGTTTAAGGTTACTACTACCTTCTCTGGGGTTGAACTCAGGTCCTTGCACTTGTGAGGCATGCAGCGGAACCACTAAGCTAAATCCCTGCTCCCCCAATATTATTTTTTTCTGCCTTTTCGCCATCTATTTCTCTTCAAGAATTTGGACCATACTGTTTCTCTGTTTGCCACGTAGGACAGCCGAACTGCATTGCATTGGGCATGTTCAGCGGGACATACAGAGATTGGGTTGAACTCAGGTCCTTGCACTTGTGAGGCATGCAGCGGAACCACTAAGCTAAATCCCTGCTCCCCCAATATTATTTTTTTCTGCCTTTTCGCCATCTATTTCTCTTCAAGAATTTGGACCATACTGTTTCTCTGTTTGCCACGTAGGACAGCCGAACTGCATTGCATTGGGCATGTTCAGCGGGACATACAGAGATTGTTGAATTCTTGCTGCAACTCGGTGTGCCAGTGAATGATAAAGACGATGTGAGTACTAGGCAAAACTGATAAATTCTCCGTTATCTTTAGACTACAGCCTGGTGTTTACTAAGCCTCGATATTAAGTTCATAAACAAAATGGTAACCTTTACAGCCAGGAAGTTACAGCATTTCCCTGGTATTAAGCATGTGACTAGTGGTTGCATTATTTTAGAACGTTAATTTTGCCACTCATACTCTGTCATTTGGGGTAAAAATACAGATCAGGGCTTATTACTGTGAACCCTAAAAGACTGTAAATTCTTTTTAATATGTTTGGATTTTTTTGGTAAATAATGAAAGCCTAGATTATATACAGATATGATTAGAATTTGGAAGCATAAGAATAGAACCTTTTTTGTTGGCAAAAATTCCTTTTTCAGGCATGCTTACTGAATTGATACTTATGATAGGAAAGAAATAAAAGTAATTTATGGGGGATGATTGAAAACAGTAAAATATATCCCTATGGTAAAATAATATGCAACCAACAAAGTTATAATTACGACAAACAGCAGGAAAATTCTCACAACATAAGTGAAATGGATAAAAATGTACTTCACAAATCTTTGTATTCTCTGATCCCAGTTTTGATTTAAAATACTATGTTATATAGAAACAAACACCTTAGAATTAGACCAGTATATCAAGTCTGTATTATTGGATTGTATTTTTCCTTTTTTATAGTATATTGTTTTCCAAATTTTCCAATGCTTGAGAAGGGGTAAAATGAATGTTTTTAAACTATTCACACATAACATAGTAAATCTTGTGCCTTTTTCCCCTGGTTTTACACAACCCACCCCTTTTTCAGGCTGGTTGGTCTCCTCTTCATATTGCTGCTTCTGCCGGCCGAGATGAGATTGTAAAGGCCCTTCTGGGAAAAGGTGCACGAGTGAATGCTGTCAATCAGAATGGCTGTACTCCTCTACATTATGCAGCTTCCAAAAACAGGCTTGAGGTATAGTTCTGCCCTTAGGCTGCTTCTGTTGATTTCTAAGCATGTACATAAACTCAAATAGACCTCTGCAGTAGTCTCTTTTCTGTCTTTTCCAGATTGCTGTCATGTTACTAGAAGGTGGGGCTAATCCAAATGCTAAGGACCATTATGAGGCTACAGCAATGCACCGGGCAGCAGCCAAGGGTAACTTGAAGATAATTCATATCCTTCTCTACTACCAAGCATCCACAAACATCCAAGACATTGAGGGTAATACTCCTCTGTAAGTGACAAGTAACAGTCATTTGTATTCTATTTAACATTAGCCTTCTTGCACTAAATTTTATATATCATTTCTTTTATTATTCTATTTATGTTACTAGCAAAAAGGTACACTAAAGCATACAGATGAAAATGAAAATTGCCTATCATTTGCCATCTAGAAATAATCACTGATAACAGTTTTGTGAATTTCTTCCCAGTCTTTTATATGCATATATATTTATTTACATATATATTTCAGAAAAATTGGGGTCATACTGTATCTGTAATTTTATATCTTGATCTTTTTACCTCATACTGTGAGCATTTTCCAATTTAAATACATTTAAAACATTTTAAATGACTGTATGCAGTCAATTGGATGGATGGGTCACAATTTCATCATTCTTCTACTACTTTAAAAACATTTTTGAGTTTTCCACTATTATAAGCTCTGCTGCATTGACAAACTTTCTGTGAAAACCTTTGTCCATATTGCTATTACCTTAGTGTAGATACCTAGAACTTGAATTATTGGATCAACAAATTCACACATTTTTAAGGCTATTGCTATGTGTTGCCAAATTGCTTCCAGAGGAGTTGTTTCATTGTACCCTCCCAAGAGCATTTTAAGAATGCTATTACCTGACATCAGCACTGAAATTATCACTTTATTATGTGAAAAAATTGTATTTTATGTTTGTAATTTACATTTTTATTGTCACTGAGTTTGAAACTTTATGCCTATGGCAAACTATATTTCTTTAATGCATTCACAATGGGCCATAATTTCTTATATCTCAATACCAGGTGGTACCTGCTCTGAACCATCAATGGTACATGCATGACTGTCCAATTGGGTAGCATGGAACAGTCATGCAAACACCACCAGTGGTTCAAACCTATAGGAACATGTTAAATTGTAACTTGTTGTGTCCTTTTCTCTGTTTCCTTTGGAGAAATTAATTTGTTTTTACTGGCTTTTAAGTGCTCTTCACTTGACATAGTAAAAATGTAACTTTCTGCCACATTGTTGGAAAATATTTTCCCCAGTTGACCTTTTTATTTTGTTCATGATTTTTAAAAATAATACAAGTTTTCCATCACTATATAGTCAAACCTATTAATCTCCCCTCATGACTAGATTGCTTATCCTTACCATGAAATTAGCTAGGTACTCACCTATATTTTAGTATAGGTTTTCTTTCACATTTCATTGGTTTTGATTGAGATTTGTTGTTACTGTTTTTGCATTTAACTCTTGTATATATGACCTGAAGCCAGCCTCTGCCTTGATATTTTCCTACATTATATGGCCACTTTTCTTCTATGTGGAAGGGTATCAGAAAGTATTAGTCTTCTTTTTAGTCCAGAGTAAGGTTTATTGACCCTTGTCCAGATTGACTTTACACCAACTCTTTAAAAAATATCATTAACTTTTCTTTTAAAATAACTTCCCTATATTTCAGAGTGACTCTTTTGGAAAGACTCATATATTTTAGCTCTTTTCTGTGAAACTCAAAAGGCAGGATTGCCTGGAGAAAGTCTAGAATTCGGACAACATAAAGTCCTAGGAAAAACACAGTGTTGTGGAATAGCTAATTGGTATTCCTCCAATCCAAACTCTGCCACTTCCCAGCTATATTAAATATAAATTAACTTTTCTGAGTCTTAACATCTCCAAGGTTATGACAATAATTCTTTCCTCACTATATTATTGTGAAGTTTGAGTAAAATACCATGTAAAGTACCTAGTACCCTGCATGGAAAACTGTAAATGCCTAGCAGAGGTTGGTTTCCTTCCCCACCGAGTTTATTCCTCAGCCATGTCATCAAAACTAGAACTTTAATCTCTGTCACAATTTTAACTGTAGAAGGTGTTGATAATACTTTGCTAATTTACCAGGTAGACACATGGATCAAATGAAATGAAATATTTTCAACTGCTTTTTCAAATTTTAAGCCATATAAATTACTCCTCACGGGTTATGAGTTGAGGTTTTTCTAATCTAACACAGAATTATTACTTGTACTGTTTGGGATAAACTATTGTTGATCTCCATAAAATGAGGAAGTTTTGCCTTAGGCTGTCATTTAGATCCATTCTTCTACCACAGAGTAGTAGGACCAAGATTATGATTTATGATTTGTTATTATAAAGGCATTCCAGTGAATTTCAACTTATAAACAGTCTTCCCCATACAAATCGATTTTCCTTTCCTAAATAAATTTCCAGTATTACTAAAGCCTAATAATATGCAATTTAGACCACTTAGTAGTAAATCCTAACCATTAAATAGATTGGTGGTCATTAATTGGTTTTTGTGTTCCCCAATTTCAGACACTTAGCCTGTGATGAGGAGAGAGTGGAAGAAGCAAAACTCCTGGCATCCCACGGAGCAAGTATTTACATTGAAAATAAAGAAGAAAAGACACCCCTGCAAGTGGCCAAAGGTGGCTTAGGTTTAATACTCAAGAGAATGGTAGAAGGTTAAAGTAGCTTGGATTTATTCCTACTTTGTCTGTTTTGTTGTCCCCAATGTCCTGGAAACTAATGTACTTGTGCACAAGGCATCATCTGCAAAGGATGAAGTTTTCTTACTTTCATAATCTTACTAACATGTTATATTGTTCCTGCTGAGATACTTGTTTTAAACTTGTACTACAACCTGCTTTCCAGGCATTGAATAATAGTTGAGATTGTTCTGTTGCCATCACATATTGTTTTTCTGTTATTGAGTTTTGGTTAATTTTAAGTGATTGTGTGGCTGTTGTGAATCTCCAGCACCTTCCTGTATACCTTCTCTCTCCCTCTGAAGCAGAACAACCCAAGTAGCACCAGGCAGATCCTGTCAGGTGCTTCTGGGTGGGTTCTGTATCTTCATATAGTTGAAACATATCCTAACTTGTTTTTCAACCTCACTCAGTGACCTATACCAAATATTTCCTTTTTTCCAACTGTAAGGCTTCACTTATTATATAAATAAATACATGTATTTAGTGAACAAATTTTAAGTTGGACATATGCTCTAAAATACCAGTACAGTATCCTCTGTACCCATGTGTCTCTTTGATGAGCTATTTTCCTCCACAAGATATTTTGTTTGTAAAAAGGCAATCGTAAAATACTTATGTTGACTCAACTTGTATTGAAAAGAATGTTAGGATTGTTAAACTGATTTTAACAAAAATGTTTTTTGAATTTATACTTGAGAATTTTAAAATATTAAAACAATTGCCCACTTATTTTTTTTCAACTCATACATTCACTTAAGCCTTAAAATTCTAAGTAAAGACATTTCTCAGTTGTGGGTAGCTCCAAAGTCAGTAAAATTATTGAACCTTGAACTGCAACTAGAATCTTTGAAATAGTAGCCTTCTGAATTGCTAACTAAATGCAGAACAAAAGAAAATTAAGAAGTGCAAACTTGGGCTCAATTTAGGGAAGCATCTTAAATTATTATTAGTTATAAAATCTAATATACTCAAAGTGATTCTTCAAATTATTTTTTAATTTGAATTTTAAGCTGCAAATGTTGCTTGAAACAAGTAATTCAAATGAGCCCACAAACTAGTATTAATCTGAGGTCAAAAACTTGATGACCAGTAACTAAAATGAGTTTTGTAAATTGTTTGTAAACAAAATTGTTTACATAAATTTGTTTTTGCAGTTCTGCAGATTGAAAGCAGGGATGTTAGGCAAGTGCACTACCATTAAGATATACTCCCTGCCCAGGGAACCATCTCCTTATGGAACAAAAATATTTCTTTATTCAATGCTGGAGATAGGTGGTAGGGGAAATAATTTATTTCCAATATTTTTAATGTGAGTAAACAGTCAAGTTTTATCTAATAGGATCTGTTAAGACTAACATCCTTTATAGAAAATCACATCTTCTTTATCCAGTTTCCAACTGATGGGCAAATGGGCTGTTTCCAAGTTTTAGCTATTACAAACTGTGCCGCTATAAACATAGGTGAGCATACATCACTGTGATATGATTCCTTTAATTCTTTTGGAAAAATACCCACCAGAGGGATGGCTGAGTCAAATGGAACCTCTAGTCCCAGCTCTTTGAGGTATCTCCATATTGATTTCCATAGTGGTTGCACCAGTCTGCACTCCCAACAACAATGGAGAAGGGTTCCTTTCTCCCCACAACCCCGCCAACATTTGTTATTGAGTGATTTCTTAATAGCAGACATTCTTTGTGGGGTGAGGTGGAATCTCAGTATTGTTTTCATCTGCATCTCCCAAATTACCGGTGATATGGAACAGAATACTACTCAGCCATAAAGAATGAGAAATTAAATTGACAATGTGAAATAGGAAGAAAAAGGCTAAAGGTGTAGGAAAAATGGGAAGGGTAGGGGAAAGGTAATAAGGGAAAAGAAAAAAATAGGAGAAAATGAAAAAATGGAAATAAAGTGTTTGTAAATGGGGAGGTGAGGAGAGGGTGAAGGGAGGGCAGGGATAAGGAGAAAAAATGAGAATCAAGACCTGTCATGTAAAGGTACAAGATCCCAATAATGAATGTAACTACTGTATACCTGAAATGTACCAATAAACTCAATAAAAAAAGAAAAAAGAATGAGAAATGAGATTCATTCATAGGAAAATGGATACATATTGAGGATATACTCCTAAGTGAAATAAATAAGTCACACGTGTAAATACCGAATAGTTTATCTGGTGTGAACAAACAATAATACATAAGATCCTAATGAGATAATTGACTGTGAAATAGGAAGAAAAGGGCTCAAGGTGTAGGGAAAGTGGGAAGGGTAGGAGAAATGTAATAAGGTAAAGAAAATAAAATAGGAGAAAATGAAAAAATGGAAATAAAGTGTTTGTAAATGGGGAGGGGATGAGGGGGTGAAGGGAGGGCAGAGACAAGGGGAAAAATGGGAACCAAGACCTGTCATGTAGAGGTACAAGATCCCAACAATGAATGTAACTGTACTGTATACCTAAAATGTACCAATAAACTCAACGAGAAAAAAGAAAAGACAGCCTTTACATATTGAATTTGTTGTCTGAGGCAATTGGCTTTATGGGTATAAAAGAAACATTCTAATTCCTTAGTATGAGTTCTTCAGTAAGCAGTACGAATGGAAACAAGACTGAGGTAATTTGTAAGCTTAAGTGACTTGTTAACAATAATTGAATCGCTGATTTGTATAAACTAAGGATATTTTTAGTATATGTGCTGCTGAAGTGAGCACCAACTAAGAGTACTAATGGCCTCAAATCCTAACCATATTGTTACCTGTAGGAAAACTGATACAGGTAAAGTTGACTCAAGGTCAGCATGTTTTAATTCCAAAATTAACTCAAAAAAGATAATTCAATTATAAAATTTAACTGGCAGACAGGGGTCAATATAAACTGGAAAAATCTACATTATTAAGAAGCTTTTATAGAGAATTCATAATTTATGTGAGATTCTAGGTAAGTCCACATTCTGATCTAGCATCTTTGACTTAACAGTCCAGCTCTCTGACCCTTGTGTTTTGATTTCCTATTTTTCAATTACATCAACTACAGTGAATTTTTATGCAACTCTGCCTACTATTTTCTGTTTCCATATTCTGTTGTGGAATATTAGTCTGTCAGCAAAATTCTTCATTTTGGTTTATATGGCTCCAACTTCACATAGCTATTGACTGCCTAAAACTGAATGCAAAATGTTGCATGTGCATTTTTCTGTAAAGAACGTTCTGAATTTTATCAAGATCTCAAAAGGATCCATGATTCCTCAAAAAGTTAAGAATCACTGGGTAAGAGAAAAAAGAATATCGAATCAATTGTCAAATTTAAGTTCCAGAACGTTGTAGTTCTACCACACTTTATAGGCTTTACATGTATACTTACTGTATCCTTTAAGAAGACAGAAAATACATGAGAAAATACCCAATACCCAATACCCAATACCAAAATAACAGCTTTCCTGGATCCTAATACCTTTTTATTTTCAGCTTTATTTGAGTTTATTGGTACATTTTAGGGATACAGTGCAGTTACATTCATTGTTGGGATCTTGTACCTCTACATGACAAGTCTCTCATTTTTTCCCCTTACCCCTGCCCTCCCTTCACTCTCTCCTCCCCTCCCCATCTACAAACATTTTATTTCCATCTTTTCATTATCTCACATTTTTTTCTTTTCCCTTGTTACCCTTCCCCTACCCATCTCACCTTCCCTACACCTTTAGCTCCTTTCTTCCCATTTCTCAATGTCAGTAATCTTATTAGGATCTTAGGTATTATTGCAGATTATTCACACCAGAGAAACTATTCAGTATTTACACATGTGTGACTTATTTATTTCACTTAGGAGTATATCTTCAATATGTATCCATTTTCCTATGAATGAACCTATTTTCTCGTTCTTTATGGCTGAGTAATATTCCATTTTATAGAAAAACCGTATCTTCTTTATCCAGTTTCCAACGGATGGGCACATGGGCTGTTTCCAAGATTTAGCTATTAAAAACTGTGCCGCTATAAACGTGGGTGTGCATACTTCTCTATGATATGATTCTTTTAGATCTTTTGGAAAAATACCCAGCAGAGGGATGGCTGGGTCAAATGGAACCTCCAGTCCAAGCTCTTTGAGGTATCTCCATATTGATTTCCATAGTGGTTGCATCAGTCTGCACTCCCACCAACAATGGAGAAGGATTCCTTTCTCCCCACAACCCTGCCAACATTTGTTG